TGTTTTTAAAATTCTGAAAACTATATCCAATGACAAATGATTTAAAGACATTAAAATTTGGTTTTAGAATTCCTCTCCCAGAAAATGTTTGTGATTATGTTAATAAGAGTAGAAGGAGGGAGGGAGGGAGGGAGGGAGGGAGGGAGGGAGGGAGGGAGGGAGGGAGGGAGAGAGAGAGAGAGAGAGAGAGAGAGAGAGAGAGAGAGAGAGAGAAAGCTCCAGCACAAATTGGATTGATAGGAATTACAGAGATGCCTGATTATTATCAAGAGTTTCTGGTTTCTGCAATATGCTGGTCAGGTGCAACCCACCAAATAGAGACAATTGTACAAGGAGAAGCATGCCATCCTGGCCATTGTGGCAGGTTTTGAAGTGCTAAACATTTAAATAAGAAGGAAGATGAGGCTTTGGTCTTAGAGAAGTGGGACACTTATGGAGACAGCAACCTAGGGCCAATGGCGGGAAATTATTACCAGGAGGCAGATTTGCTTTTAATGTCAGGAAGAACTTTCCAACAGAATTGCTCAAAAATGGAGGTGGTGAGCTCTTTACCACTGAAAACATTAACTTAGAAATTTTAAAGAATCATCCTTCAAAGATGTTTTAAAATTTAAAAGAGGGGCTTTCTATAACAGGTGGAAAACTGTATTAGATGCTAAGGTTATTTTGGTTATTTTGAAGTTTCAATATAGTTTAGAATAGTTGTCTTCTGATGTAATAACACCATCCTCTGATTATATCCCCTACTTAGATATTAAATTTGATTAAGCATCATAATGCCATCAAATATTTTTTATAAATACATCTACATTTTTAAGATATAAAGATTTCTCTTAAATCACAGAAGTGATTCTTGTTAAAGAATCACTTCATTTAAATATATAGATATATTAGCAGCAAAATAAGAACAATAATTCAGAAGAAAATGTTAGGTACTGGTCTTTCAGTTTCTATTTATATAAAACAAATGTGCACCTATGGTAGGCAGAAGGAAAAATCCTTATTAGCAGCTTACTATAATGTCAGCACCATTTGCAGACTTTTTCCTGAGTTAATTAAAAAACACAGAACAAATTTTCTTTCATAGAAATGCTCTTGAAATGATGTAGTTTTATGACTCAAATCCTATTTAAATCTTAAGTATGGAGAACCATTGAAATCGTTATAAAAATCTTGAATAAATTGGAAGAAAAAGCAATTAGTCACATGTCAGAAAACTATTAAGATAAAAAGGTGTAGATAAATAGAATATAGAAATCTTTGGTTGTGCATTCCCATGTAGGAATTTATGGGACTGATCGTGTGCCACATGCTTCAGTCTTCGATCATTTGTCTTATTACAAATATGGCTTTATAATTTGGAGTAAAGTTTTTTCTTATGTTGAACAGAAATCTACTTCCCTACAAATTCTAGCCTTTGTTTTTAGGTTGCCCTCTAGAGCTGCCTATTGGGAGCCATTTTTGAGTCTTACAGATTCTATTCTAAATATGAGAAAAGGTATCCCAAACACTGGATCCCACTAAACTGCGAATGGTTATCTAAAAGTAACATTATATAGTCAACAATATATTTAATCATTACATTATATTTATTGCTTCTATGTCTCAAAATGCAAACAAATGCTTCTCTCTATACTTGATTCCGATTCCCAAATCATGTAACTTGAACTGGGTACACTGAACATATACTCAATTGCTCCTCTTGGTATCTGGGAAAAATGGAATTATGTTGCAGGATGTGGTGATAAAGACCTCTTTCCATCGCCAAACTAGAGTTGAGTGTTATGGGAATATAGTTCATTTTGATTATTCAAATATTCTTCATCTGTTCCATCTCCCAGGCAACAGATGAACAAAAGGTGCTCCACATTTTAAATCAAGTTTGAAGATCACTCTAGGAATATCCATTAACTTTGAATTTATTTTTAAAAATGTTAAATGCAATCTTCTTTATATTTAATAATGCCATATACCTACTTTCAATTTTAGAAGATATTACAACATCAGCATTTTTTGTGTGCATAATCCAAATGTAGTGGAGCAAGAGAAATTGGTAAAGGATTAAAAATGTTAAATAGAGTTCTTCCACAAGATTGAAAGCAATCTGAATAATGAGCACATTTTGTCTCTTATACTGCTGCAGTGGCTGAAAAATGATAATGAAAGAAAATCAGACTTGGAGGAAAAAAAATACTTAAAAAGAGGTCACCGATAAAAGAATATTATTCACTCTTCCCTAATCTTATAGGCAGGAAAAATAGCTTCCACTGGGGATACTGCATAGACAAGAGATCAAGAGATCACTGAAACTTGCACATCAGAGATCCAGAATGAAGAATGAGATCTGAATATATATATATATATATATATATATATATATATATATATATATTTAATTAATTAGTTCTTGGACAGTGAAGACAGTGATTGACAAGATGAGAAAAATGTAACCAGTTCAGTCACTGACCATGTGTCTGTATGGTTGGGTTCTTAAGGATTTTTGAATACACAGAACCAGCGCAGATAGATCAAATTAAAGTGCTATCTTACAAGAAGGAACAGAATTAGAACAGTATCAACTACTAACAGGGACAAGCCTAGCACAGGTTACAATGGTGCCAAGGAAAAGGAAGAGTAAAGGAAGAGTTTAGGGATTTGTGACTAGGGAGAGTGCTTTTCTGGCAGATATAAACGATGAAGAGCACTCAGGTACAGATGTAAAGGGATGGCAATAAGGAAAAATGATTAACTAATCTGTAGCAATTATAGAAACTAAGGCAGGAAGCCTTGTGCATTAGAAAATATATTATACCAAATGCAGAAAAAGTCACCCAGGCCTGGACTACAAGGCTATTTCCAGAAACATTAATCAAAGGGCAATGAGAAGAGTGATAGAGTTCAGTGAATCCACATACATATAGACCACCCACTGTTATGGGCTGAATTCTGTTTCAAAGGGACAGAGAGAGAGAGAGAGAGAGAGAGAGAGAGAGAAGAAGAAGAAGAAGAAGAAGAAGAAGAAGAAGAAGAAGAAGAAGAAGAAGAAGAAGAAGAAGAAGAAGAAGAAGAAGAAGAAAGAGGAGGAGGAGGAGGAGGAGGAGGAAGGGGAGGAGGAAGAAGAAGAAGGAGGAGGAGGAGGAGGAGGAGGAGGAGGAGGAGGAGGAGGAGGAGGAGGAGAAGAAGAAGAAGAAGAAGAAGAAGAAGAAGAAGAAAGAATTGAAAGAGAGAAGAGAAGAGAAGAGAAGAGAAGAGAAGAGAAGAGAAGAGAAGAGAAGAGAAGAGAAGAGAAGAGAAGAGAAGAGAAGAGAAGAGAAAAGAAGAGAAGAGAAGAGAAAGGGTGGAGCAGGGAAGAAGGCCACCAATTCTACAGAATACTTCCTATCTGATTAGGGCAAGTCCCTGATTTTGTAATTGCATGATAATGTGTTCTAATATCCTATTGTATTTTGAAAAATACATTTGAACTTATGATTATATATGTTTATATGATAAAATAAAAGAACCTTCACTTAGGTATATTTCCACTTTAGAACATACTTCTAAAGGATATGGAGATTTACAACAGATTAACATTTACTACAAAGTATGGGAACTACTTTTGAGAAATCCAATCTACACGTGGCCTGAGATGAAAATAGGGGGTCTTAAAACCTAAAATACTTCTATCTTTTAAACTGATTAAAGAAACATATCCTTTTGCAAAGCCAGAATCATCCTCATCCTAGCTGAGAACAAGGATGACTAATACTCTCCCACTGGTTGGGTTATGGGTAATTGAACATCTAAACAGATGTTGGTTGTGAACTCTACTACCAATACCAACATTTTCTAAATTTAAATTTTGTTCTAAATTTAGAACATAATTCCCTATGAATCATTTGCTAAAGTAATAAACCAACATGGTGGCTTTGCACTTGGATATCATCACAGGAAATTCATACGGTACTAATTTAAATGCTGAAATTCCTATTCGCAACACGAAGTTGGACATTTGATAGTTTAAGCCCAATGCAATGATGATAATTCACTTAGCCAGAGGTCCTCAATTATGTTGAAAGCTGGCAGTGATACAGAAAAAGTATCTCAGCATTTCCATCCAAGAAATCCGAGAACTTCACTCAAATGGGTTACATGTTAAGTACACTCAGGTCAGTGTAACTTAGAACTAATAATTAAATCAAGAATGTTAATTTGCCGAGCTTGAGCCAGAAAATAAGGGAGCTATTATACTGCTAGACATCAAAGCCAACTAACACTGAGAGCTAATAGGAACAGCAATTTTTAAAAACATTTCAGTAACTGCTGGTAGCATTATGAAAGTATAATATAATGAGGAGTTGAGTCATAAAAAAAGTTGAATTATAAAAAAATGTTCATGTTTAGTGTACAGTTTAGGATGCTGGGGAAACACAATGCATTTTAGAAAAATTTCTGACCAAATAATGGCGAAAGAAAAAAGTTCCTGAAAGAAGCTAACTCTGATCAGAAAGGACAGGAATTCAACAACTCTTAAACCTGTAGTTACAGGGTAGGATTCTCACCGTTTAATTTACTTTTCACTTCATAAAATATAGTGTACGTAATTCATTTTGACTGCCTAAAGAGATTTCTCCCACTTACATAAGCACAAACCTGTGGAACTTTGATTTGTTTTTACTATCTGGTTTGTTTTTGTATTTCATTGTTAAAAAATTAAAACATTCAAGCCTGTGAGTCCTATTTACGGAAGGAAATACAAGCATTCTGGCTTCTCCAAGATTAAATCACATTCAGCATAATTTTCGGTAAAAACGCATTTTATATGCTAAGTTTCTGGGAACTGCTAATTCTTACGCAGACACAGTGCGCATTCATAGGAATTCTCTAGCAGAAGGCAAATGTTAATTTTACGATGTAAAAGACCTTCTCTACCAACGGTTGCCTAACAAACCTCCCCTCTGGTTTCTCGATCCGGAATAGTTTTTGCAATGCCCGAGCTTCACACGCGCAGGCCGCCGCTTTCAGAAACGGTTGGGAAGCCAGGGGTCCCGGTACTTGTTGAACTGGATCGCCTGGCAGTAAAACTCCGTTAGGGCCCTGGGCATGGGCGCCACCTCCTCCCACTCGGACCTGCTGCTGTGGTAGACCTGCACCTCATCGGTGATCTCATCGGGGGCGTAGTCCCCGCCCAGGATGTAAATCTTATCTCCGATCCCCACCGCACCGGCGTTGAAGCCCGCGCACTCGAAGGACCCTTCCCCCTTCCAGACGCAGGTATCCGGGCAGAAGCTGTACACCTTGTAGGTGGAAAGGTCGCATATGTACAGCGTGCGGTTCACCGGGACGGCTTTGATGAGGGTGGCGTGGAAAAACTGCCCGAACTCCGCCACCAGTTCCGACCACTGGTCGGTCGCCGCGTTGTATCTGAAGAAGCAATCGAGGGACGGGTTGAAGGCGTCTGTGATCTCCACCTCGGACCCAAGGACGTAGATGACACTGTGGCAGGCGCTGGCCTCCGGGTAGTAGATGCCCCGGGGCAGCGGGCTGACGGACGCCCACTCTTTGGAAAGCGGGTTGTAAGACTCCACATCCAAGAGGCTTCTGCTGTCCCGAGATCCCCTGGTCTTCCCGCCCAGAACGAACAGCCTGCTGAGAGCCAGCACCGAGGTGTGCATGGTCCGGGGCGTCTTCATGGCGGACACCGGGAAGGAGTCGTTGTTGGCGGGACAGTAGCACCAGGTCTGGTCGGTGGCGTCGTGGTAGGGCTGTGCGATGTGGAGCCGCACCGCCCGGCAGCACGGCCCCTTGCAGCCACCCGTCAGGAATATCTTCTCCCCGTAGCTTGCCAGGCTGGATCCCGGCAAGTCAACCAGGTGGGATGGCGGCAGTATTTTCCACGAGTCGCTTTGAATGTTGTAGCAGAACGTGTGCTGATTCTCGCCGTTTTCCTCGGTTTTGTGAACAAATATGTACTTCTCCGTGGTGGACGGCCGCGCATCCGGGAAAAGGCCGCCGGAACCCTGCACGCTCTTCACCGCATCCAGGACGATGTCAAAGCAGTCGGTGCTTTTGAGTAGACACTCCTCGCTGAGCAGACAGTCCTGAAGTGTCTCCTCGGGTAACTGATGCAATCTGACTTGTTTAATCAAATAAGGCAGGTGCTTTTGCCTCGCTTCTAGGTTATATTTGGTCCAATTGAGGACAGCTTTCAGGACGGTCTCTTCTTCAGGGACATCTAATTCATCCGATTCCAGACATTTCTGCACGACTCCAAAACTCAACTCTAAGAAATCACTGGATTTAAATAACAAGGAAAAGTGATGCTGTACAAAGTATAAAGCGTGATCAAACAAACGGGGTGAGCCGTAGCTATCTGAGATAGATAATAACTGCAGACAATTGACAATGTTAATGCTCTTTATTAAGAAGTCACTGCAGGCTTTGGACAGGAAGGGGACTTGCAGAAACGCTGACACCTGGAAGAACATTTCCACGTTCTCCCCTGTGATCTGTGCTTTTCCGGTGTAGGCGTAATCAAGGAAGGCTTTCACCGCTTCCGAGGACAAATTGGTGATGGTAACACTCCCACCGTCTCTTTCTTTCATGTTCACTTCGAACATAGCCCTGCAGAAATAAAGAACATAGAAGAAGTACACAGAAATAATCTATTCCGTGAAAATTTTCAATATTACCTTGAAAGGATTTCCTTCACCCTTAAGTTGATTTAAAATATATTTATGACGTATATCTCAAAGCATCCTAACAAATTAGTTTAAAATCTTGAATAGATACATACAATACTATTTATCTATAACATACATGTATTACATAATCCCCATACTGCAAAATATTCATTACAACTGAACTACAGCAACTAATCCAAAGGAAGCTATAAAAAGATTCAAATTTTGTACACTGATTTGATGTTCTTATGTATTATTCATAAAATCTCTCTCTTATGGCTGAATTTATTTATTTATGGGCTGGTTAATTAGTACCAACTCTGCAGGTAATAAGTAAAGTTACTTGAGGCACATAATGCTTTTGCGCTCAGTATTTAAAAGTCTCTTTCAAATGCATTTTTGATTTGGCAGTCCTGGGACTATGAAAATGGAATACAGCGAGTTATCAGATGTTGCAAGTGCATCTGTCGGTGTGGGGAAACCCACCAAATCAAATAAACACATTTCATAAGGCACTTTAGGAAAAAAGGGAAAGTGATTTCAAAAAAAATGAAACGGCAACCATGTCCCACACCTACCGTCACCTAGCTAATAAACGGCAGGGCTGGGATTTGGATTGAGGGCACGAGTATTAAGAGGCCAAGTGCTGCAGCGCTGCACCATACAGTTTCCTCTGATGAAGAGGTGACAGGAGGGAAAGGCGGCAGAAAAGAACCACTTGGAAGAAAAACTGGATTAGGATAGAGGGGAAGAAACTGGTGGGCCCCAGGGAAGTACAAAGAAAAATAACAGAAGTTGGCTGAGGACACATATGTAATACCTTAACCAATAAAGAAATTTTTTAAAAAAAAAGAGGTTATCTGAAAAAGAACTGAAAAAACAAAAACAAAACAAACAAAAAAACAGAAGAAAACACTCAGTGTAGTTAGGCAATCAGCTGATAAAAGCTGTGTTTTTGTCTTAAATCTTACTCTTTCATTGTTTGTTTATTACAGATTTAAACCTGTTTACTTCAAATAAAAATTGCTTCAAACTTGAAGATAATGTAAAAAATTGCAAGGAGGACTTCAGTTTACTGCAGAGTGACTAGGACGGCTGAAGTCCAGGATGCTGCCAGGAGGCCTCACAGGGTTATAGGTTGGACCCCAACCCTTGCAGAATTCTCAATGTAAACAGTGGGTTCTTACAGTGTCATGACTAAGACACTCCTTTTAAGATGATCTACGTGGGAACTAACTTATATTCAGAATTTTGCCCAAACTGGAACAAGCTGGTCCCCTTCAGAAATGCTTATGGAGGAATTTCTCACTAGTATAGTGAGAGGTTCCGAGAGGAGAAATCTTGAAATCCTCTGGGTTGGAGTTCCTCTCTTCCCGATAATCCACTAATACAATCAATACATGACAGAAATGTGGTTTCCTCTCAGACGCCTCATTTGCTTTGAACTTTGCTTAAATTTTGGATGAATCTGTTCTTTCCTCTTTTTCTAAAGGACACAGTGCAAGGATCCCCTCAATAAAGTGACTGCAGATGAAAACAAATTTCCCATGAACATTTAAGGGACTAATGTTCTATAAAACATCACAAAAGATAGTCCTAAATTTTCATACTCAAAAATAATTAATCTAGGCTCTAATGAGCTCTTTTCAAGAATGGATGTGGATGGAAAATTGAGGAGAGTTTAAAAAGCTAACTTAATTATCCGTCTCATAAAACCTGAGGCATACACAAGGTACAGTACCTGAAAAAGTCACTGCATGCTGCTAACACACAACGATGACATGGGATTATTTCATCTTTCATGATTATTTTGAAATCATAAAAGATATTTTGTTCTCTAAAATTCTGTAGTACACTCAAGATTTTCTGTCCATGATCTTCTGACACAAGTAAGTTGTTTGTCTTCTCAGATGGAATTCCATTACATGAGCTTCGTTGACTGAAATCATATGAATTATCCATATCCAATTTCTATTTGGACTTAGAACTGAAATGAAAAAAAAAAAATCACTGAAGTAGAGTTCTAATAAAATTTCCAGATCAAAATTTGCCCACTTATCAATTATAAAAAATGCTCATTAAGAACAATGACAAAATAGTAGTCCTTGTTCTAAACATGTTTTCATGATACTTAAAAATAAATTCCTTTTAAATTTGTATAAATGTGATCACTGGAATAAAAGGTATATAATTAAGGGATAAAGTTCAAGATGTATAAGTGTGTTAAGCAGAACAATTTATAAATTGTATAAATAGCTTATATAGAATCTCACTACATGACTAGTCTTGTTTTATGTAAGAGCCATTATTTATATAATGGCATTTGGGTATATACCCAACACATCTCTCTCCCTGCCCACTCATTTTTTAAAAAAATACATTTTATTGATTGTTTACAGAGAGGAAGGGAAAGGGACAGAGAGTTAGAAACATCGATGAGAGAGAAACATCGATCAGCTGCCTCCTGCACACCCCCCACTGGCGATGTGCCCACAACCAAGGTACATGCCCTTGCCCGGAATCGAACCTGAGACCCTTCAGTCTGCAGGCTGACGCTCTATCCACTGAGCCAAACCGGTTTTGGCTGCCCACTCATTTTCTTCTCGTAACAAAGCAGATGTTAAATATTGATTCTGACACAAGTAAGCAGAATTCCCAGTGTAAATGGTGGGTTCTTTACTATTTACTCATGACCAAGACACTCCTAGCAGTTACATGCCTGTAGACTTTTAAAAGACAACTCATGGGGCAGGAGGGTTTGGGATGGGGGGTGGAATCTGTGTTAAATTGTATTAACTATTTATGGACTTTACTAAGTAAGAAAAAGGCAAGCATTGATCCAAGTTGGCTTATTTGAAAGCAGAAATAACAAATTACTTTAATGGCCTTTTAAACATGAGATCAGAAATCTTGGATAGTTGAAGGCCAGAAAATTGTGACTGTCCCAAACTGCATGCAAACTCAGTCCTAAGCATGAAAGTGGACACCACCAAAAGCAAGGAAGTAGGATACAGAAAGGAAAAAGATGACTAGGAATGAGAGTAGGCAAAGAAATATAGACCCTCGATTTCTTAGGATATTTCTGTTTTGCTTATCTACTGCTTTGCAAATCACCCCAAAATTGAGTGTCTTAAGACAAAGATTTGTAATCTCTTATGGTTCTGTGGGATTAGCTGAAGCTTCTTGCTTGGGAGTTTTCATACGGTTAGTCAGATGGCAGCTCTGGCTGAAGTCATCTTGTTACTGGAAAGGGGAATGTAACCCTTGGTAGGTCTCCTAGGACCCACCAGTAGTGTGTGGGTTCTTGACTTAGTGCAGGAAAAATTTCACAACATGAATCCAGGTAATTATGAGGGAACATTTGTTAAAGCTGGGGACAGTAAAACTAAAAGGGCTTTGCATAGAAGCAGCAGCAGGAGGGCCTAGGTTTGGGTGTTCTAGCTCTCTGAGAAGGCAGAGAAAAGGGGGCTTTGGGAACAGGTTCAGGAGTTAACCTGGGAGGAGCTGCTGCTGCCTATTGCTCCCCTGGTTGCAAGTCTCACAGGGTTTAGGAGATGCTGGAGGGACCAAGAGAGGGAAGAAGGTAAGAGCATGGAGGGCTGTTCCCAACAGGGAATGCACAAGCTGGGTCCTTTGCCTAGAGGTGTTTATCTTTCTCTTGTGGGTGGGGATCTTAGTGGAGGTTTCAGGGAAAGGTTTCAGCAGATTATTCATCACTTTTCTAGGTGTGCTCCTTCAGGGTCATGGTCTCCACTGATTGGTCAGTGTCAGGGCAGCGGGTCCTTAGTCGCTGCAGCTGGTCCTGGTATTGCCCACCAAGTTTTCCTCCTTTCTGGACCTGGAGCTGAAATACAATCGAGGCCTAATGTTATCTCTAGAGTGGAAACTTTCTGTATCTGCTGCCAATGGCTCTCCCAATTTGTTCAGCTCTCTGTTTCCCTATTCCACTTATCCTCCTTACTGTCTCAATCTGACTGGGTTAGAGATCCAACATGGCTTTTTCATTCACATTTTGATGCTTCAAATGGATGGCTAGAACACGTGTTCCCGCCCCCTCTCTCTCTGAGATCTCTCTAGTTTATACTTCCCTATATGTGGTATTTGGTCTTCCCAGAGGGGATGTTTCTAGCCTAGATGGAACCCAGTCACTAGAGAAGTAGTCTGAATGGTCCTACAACATCAACACTCCATTCTAGGATTGAGACAATCTACTGCTGCAGACAGTAACCAGGAGCCATGTTTAGCTCTCTACTTAATTTTTTTTTTTTTTTAAAGTTTCTTAGTTGCTGTAGTGATATTTTAAGTGATCAGTAGCCATATATACTGGTAATGTGATGGTTACTTTTATGTGTCAAATTCACTATTTGGCTAACCATTGTTTGTAGGTGTGTCTACCAAGGTGTTTCTGGGTGAGATTATCATTTAAATCAGTGGACTGAACAAAACAAATTGCCCTCCTTAAGGTGAGCGGGCCTCACCCAATCCGCTGAAAGCCTGACGGAAGCAGGAAGGTAGGAAAGAATAACTTCTCTCTGCCTGACTGTCTTCGAGTTGGAACCTTAGGCTTTTTCTTGAACTAAGACTCTGATAGACCACAACTATCAGCTCTCCTGGGTCTCCAGCTCGCTGACTGAGACTTCTCTACCTTCATAAACATGTAAGCCAAATCCTTAGAGTTAATCAATCAATCTACCTACCTACCTACCTACCTATCTACCAACCTATCTTCCTCCCTCCCTCCCTTCCTCCAATTGGTTCATTTCTCTGGAGAACCCACAACACGTGGTTAGTGCCTTTTATTTTTCATAGCACAAATAAAGTTTTGCTGGATAGTTGATGTACTGTATTAAGAATAGTCTGTTGGTCTGTTCAGTGGTTAGAGCATTGTGCCTCAGACCAAAGGGTCATGGATTTGGTTCCTGGTCAAGGGCACGTACCTCGGTTGCAGGCTTGATCCCTGGCCCCAGCCTTTGTGTGAACGGGAGGCAACCAATCAATGTGACAATCACACAAAAAACGCAGGCGTAAATACTAACATATCAATAATTGTAATATGTGTAAATCAATAAGTGTAAATGGTCTATACGCACCAATTAAAAGACAGACATTATCAGAGTAGATTGAAAAAACACACACAAAACAACCAACTTTATACTTCATACAAGCAACTTGTTCCAAATAGAATTATATACTTAAGTAGGTTGAAAATAAAAGGATGGGAAAAGACAGACTGTGCAAGCATTAATTAAAAGAAAACAGGTGTGGCTCTATCAAGTAGACTTCAGCAAGGGAAACTATCAGAGACAGAGAATAACATCGCATCATGTCAATCCACCAAGAAGAAAACCTAAAGGAGTATGTACCAAACAAAAGAGCTGCAAAACATGTGAAGCAAAAACTAATAGAACTGAAAAGAATAACAGACAAATATACTATTAAATCTAGAAATTAATACCTCTTTCTAACATTAATCAAGAAGTCAGTAAGTCAGCAGTGATATTGAACTCAATAATACCATCAACCAACACAACCTAATAAACTTTTATAGAAAACTCCACCAAACAACAAAATACACATTATTTTCAAGTGACTGTGGAATATATACCAAGAGTGACAGTATCTTGACCCACAAAACAAACCTCAAATGATTTAAAAGAACTGAAATCACACAGTCTATGTTCTTTGACCACAATGAAATCAAACTAGAAATAAGAAAAAGATAAAATAAATTTGTTCACACTTGGGAACAAAATAACACTCCTAATTAATCCACGAATCAGAGAAAGTCTGAAGGGAATGAAAAAAAACAACAACAACACATTAGACTGAATAAAAATGAAAATATAACATCAAAATGTGTATGACGTAGCTAAAACAATACAGAGGAAAATTCATAGCACTACTTAGAAAAGAATAAAGGTCTCAAGTCAATGATATAAGCTCCCATCACAAGAAAAATAAAAGCAAATTAAACTAAAGATATGCAGAAAGAAATGTGAAGAGCAGAAATCTATGAAATTGCAAAATTAAGACCACAAGGAAATACCACTACTCATCTATTAGAATGGCTAACATGAAGAATAGCGATAACACCAACTGCTTAAGAGGATGGAGAGACACTGGGTCATTCATACATTGCCAGTGGAAATTACTTGACAGTTTCTTCAGAATATGAACACAAGACAGTGATCCCATCTGGCCAGGAAACTCGGGGTACAGTTTTGCCTGATTCAAGATCTCAGACAACTCTTGCTGGCTTGGGAGCCAGTTATGCTGCCCAGTTGGACAGGGATGCCAATTCTTTGCTGTCTACTGCTGAGTGCAGCCTCAGTCCCACCCCACCAAGAAACCTGGCCAGAGCACCCAGGAAGCTAAGTAGGCCAGTAGTACGTAAGCAGAGCACCCAGCCAGTGATTCTGCTCTTCTGCAAAACCCAGCTGGTGACCCCATATAGCCAGGAAGGTTGGTGCACAGTTTTGTCTCATTCAGGTTTCCAGCCAGCAAGCCATATCAACTGTGGCGCCTGTTGCACAGACCAGTTTGGAAGGAAATTTGAAGCCCCGTGTAGGGCTGAAAACAGCCTCCAGGCCTACCAAATCATGTAGCCTACCCAGAATACCTGGGTAGCTGCAGAGCCCAACCTACAGCTCTGCTTACAATGGCACCGGAATAGAGAGCTGAGCCAACATGACACCACTAAAGGAAAATAATCAAGTTCCAGTAACTAACCCTAAAGAAAGGGAGATTTATGAACTGTCTGCGAAGAATTCAGAATGATCCTCTTACAAATATTGACTGAACTACAAGAAAACACAGTTGAATAAAACTAGAGGTGCAGGGATTTGTGCACTAGTGGGGTCCCTCAGTGTAGCCTGCAGGGATTGGGCTGGCACTGGCAGTCCAACACCACCTGCCACTTCTGCTCATCTCGCCCCAGTGTGCCTGCTGCTGCTGTCGCACGT